GTATTCTGAGCACCTCTGCAAAAACAGTGATAATGTGTGAGTGTGGTGAAAGTGTTGAATGATGATGAAAGCATTTTCTTTTTGGGGATTTTCTTTCTTTTTTGGGTCACCTTGCCTTGGTGGGAGACGGCCAACTTGTTGAAAAAAAAAAAAAATATGATAGAGTGGATAGGGGAGCAATGTGGCAGATGTTGCAAGAATAGGAAACAGGTAGTAAGTTACTAAATGTTGTAAAGAGTTTTTATGAGGATAGTGAGGCTCAGGTTAGGGTGTGTAGGAGAGAGGGAGACTACTTCCCGGTAAAAGTAGGTCTTAGACAGGGATGTGTAATGTCACCATGGTTGTTAATAGATGGGGTTGTAAAAGAAGTAAATGCTAGGGTGTTCGGGAGAGGGGTGGGATTAAATTATGGGGAATCAAATACAAAATTGGAATTGACACAGTTGCTTTTTGCTGATGATACTTTGCTTATGGGAAATTCTAAAGAAAAATTGCAAAGGTTAGTGGATGAGTTTGGGAGTGTGTGTAAAGGTAGAAAGTTGAAAGTGAACATAGAATGGAGTAAGGTGATGAGGGTATCAAATGATTTAGATAAAGAATAATTGGATATCAAATTGGGGAGGAGGAGAATGGAAGAAGTGAATGTTTTCAGATACTTGGGAGTTGACCTGTCAGCGGATGGATTTATGAAGGATGAGGTTAATCATAGAATTGATGAGGGAAAAAGGTGAGTGGTGCATTGAGGTATATGTGGAGACAAAAAATTTTATCTATGGAGGCAAAGAAGGGAATGTATGAAAGTATAGTAGTACAGGTCCTCCATCACAAATCCGGCATCATTGGGACCTGTAGTGTGCCGGATTACTGAGTTTGCCGAATTACAGAGTGGTTAGGTTAGAATACACTTAATAAAATTAACCAACTTGACTTGCACAGTTCATTGAATATCGGCAAAAATCGAACATTTCCGCTACTTTGAGCTCAATTTCAAGGTACTTTTCGTCATGAAAGCATTCAAAATCATATCTGTTTTTGTAATATATTTTTCATTCTATCAAATGAGACCGAAAAAATGAGAATATAACCATAACCATACAAAAATATACCACTAAGTGGCCGCTAATGGCTGAGAAGTGAACTCCGCTATTTATGGTCTGAATTCTTTCATTTTTGGTGTACATGAAGAATTATCTTTCCATCATACATTGCCCAAATTTGAATAAGATAACCCAACAAACAACTGAGAAAATAATAATAATAATATAATAATAATAATAATAATAATATAATAATAATAATAATATCTTTATTTACTACACATATATGTACAAGGTATACAGGCCTAGCTGACATCAGTGACATACTACTGTATAGAAAGGCACTTGTTATGCTGAGTATTTCAAGAAAATTAGGTCAGTGTCCCAGGATAACACACACACTATTCGACTAACACCCAGGTACCCATTTACTGATGGGTAAACATAGACAACAGGTGTAAAGAAACACGCCTAATGTTTCTACCCTGGCTGGGAATCGAATATTTACCAAAAATCATATATGGCTAACCCAAGCCAGGTACTAAAAATAAGCCACGTTGACTTTTTTGGGGTTATCCTAGGTTCTCTACACATATGCTGCTATGTGTAATAATCTATAGAGAAAATAACTTTTTTGTTTCATGTTTATGGTGGAGTACGAGTGTATATCATAGTTAGCCCTGTGCTATACTCCGTTTTCTCTAATATAAGCCACCAAGACAAGGATAGGAGAATGGTATTTGTATACCATATCCTCTTCATAACTCTGTCGAACTGCTCGGTGTTATGCCAAATGTTATTCATTCTGGAGTATTTAATATGTTTTATGTTATTTATATTGTTTCTTATGTCATATTAGATCAATTGTGATAGGCAAATAAGCTGTAGTGTTGATATTAGCATAATAATAAAGCATATTCTCCTGCTTCATGAGACTGAGCTCATGGCAACCGACAGTGGCTTCAAAGCCACCTTTTCTTTAATGGATAATGTACTGTGTAGGTGCTTTACATAATGAGAAGCATTTCTTTTATTTATTGGAACCATGGCTAGGGCTAAAAGTAAGCAGGTTAAAACAATAAATGGAGAAAAAGAAATTGGAATGACTTATGCAGCAAGTAGCGCCACCAAACAGTAGCAGCAGGTTGGTGTGGCGACCCTGGAAATTTGAAATTGCTAGCCAAAATTAGTGCCGAATAACTGAAGGAACCGAATAACTGATTGCCGGATTTGTGATGGCGGACCTGTACCAACACTCTTATATGGGTGTGAAGCTAGGGTTGTGAATGCAGCAGCGAGGAGGCAGTTGGAGACAGTGGAGATGTCCTGTCTAAGGGCAATGTGTGGCGTAAATATTATGCAGAAAATTCGGAATGTGGAAATTAGGAGAAGGTGTGGAGTTCATAAAAGTATTAGTCAGAGGGCAGAAGAGGGGTTGTTGAGGTGGTTTGGCCATTTAGAGAAAATGGATCAAAGTAGAATGACATGGAGAGTGTATAAATTTGTAGGGGAAGGTAGGCGGGGTAGGGGTCATCTTCAAAAAAGGTTGGAGGGAGGTGGTAAAGGAGGTTTTGTGGGCGAGGGGCTTGGACTTCCAGCAAGCGTGCGTGAGTGTGTTAGATAGGAGTGAATGGAGATAAATGGTTTTTGGGACCTGATGAGCTGTTGGAGTGTAAGCAGGGTAATATTTAGTGAAAGGATTCAATGAAATTGGTTGGTTTTACATAGCCGAACTTTATATGCCTGCACTTTAACTCGTAAACGGTCCAAACAGATCTACGTTCACATGTGTAGTGATACAAAAGTAGATCTACGTTTTTTTTTTACATATTTTCAAATATAACAAAAAAAAAAGTAGATCAAAGTTTTCTTACACATTTTCAAATGTGAAAAAAGAAAGATGATCTACTTTTTTTACATACTTCAAATGTTGAAAAAACGTATATATTCGTTTGGACCGTTTACGGGTTAAAATAGGTGTTTGGGATGTTAGCAGTTTGGAGGGATATGTTATATATCTATATATGTTTCTAAACTATCGTATCTGGGCGCCTCTGCAAAGACAGTGGTTATGTATGACTGAGGTGAAAGTATTGAATGATGTTGAAAGTATTTTCTTTTTGGGGATTTTCTTTCTTTTTGGGTCACCTTGCCTCGGTGGGAGACAGCTGCCTTGTTGAAAAAAAAAAAAACATGGTGACATCACACATCCTTGTCTAAGGCCTACTTTTACTGGGAAATAATCTCCCTCTCTCCTACATACTCTAACCCGAGCCTCACTATCCTCGTAAAATCTTTTCACTGCTTTCAATAACCTACCTCCTATTCCATACATTTGCATCATCTGCCACATTCCTTCCCTATCCACCCTGTCTTTCTCCTTATCTAAATACTGTTCACCTATATGTTTCACTGTAAACACTTGGTCTACATACCCCCTACTCTTCCTCAAGCCTCCTTGTTCATCTGCTGTCTTACTTTCCATCTTACTTGTAATTCTTTCAATAGTAACTCGACCATGCACTTTACCAGGTATACTCAACAGACTTCTTACCCTATAATTTTTGCACTCTCGTTTGTCCCCTTTGCCTTTATACAAGGAACTATGCATGCTCCTTGCCAATCCCTAGGTACCTTACCCTGTTCCACACATTTATTAAATAAAAGCACCAACCACTCCAGAACTCTATCCCCACCTGCTTTTAAGATTTCTATCTTTATCCCATCAATCCAAGCTGCCTTACCCTCTCTTATTCTACTCACTGCCTCACGAACTTCCCCCACACTCACAACTTGCTCCTTCTCACTCCTTCAAGATCTTATTCCTCGTTGCCCTAAACATGAAATCACAGCTTCCATGTCTTCATCAGCATTTAACAATTCCTCAAAATATTCCCTCCATCTTCCTGATACTTCTAATTCTCTATTTAATAACTCTCCTCTCCTACTTTTAACTGTCAAATCCATTCGTTCCTTAGGCTTCAAGTTATTAATCTCACTCCAAAACTTATTGTTGTTTTCAACAAAATTTGTTGATATCATCTCACCCACTCTCTCCTTTGCTCTTTTATCATTGCCTCACCACTCTCTTAACCCCCCTTTTTTTTCCTCTCCATATACTATCCCTCCTTGCACTATTTATGCTTTTTAAAAACCTCTCATATGCTAATGTTTTCTTTCTTACTAATCGCTTTACATCATCATTCCATCAGTCGCTCTTCTTCCCTCTTGCACCCACTTTCCTGTAACCACAAACATCTGCTGAATACTCTAACTCTGCATTCTTAAACCTACTGCATGCATCTTCAACCCCATTGCCTATACTCTCACTAGCCCATCTATCCTCCAAATTGTGAAATGTAAACACATTGTAACCTTAGCAAAGAAATCAACTTTTGATTTTTGATTAATCAAGGTGAATAATTTATATAATGGTAGTTAATTTGAGAAGTATATAATATTAGTAAAACAACTTTCTTCAACATTAACTGTGCAGTATTAGTAGATCTCTTAATTAATTTGTTGTATTCTAGTTTGTTATTTAATTTAGGTTAATATCCAATTACTTCATTGTGTTTAATGTAAAATTGATTATCTAATGAATAACATTTATATTGAGTACACCTAATTTAATTAAAAGTTAACAAGAATACAGTAAACCCCTGATATACTGGACTAATAGGAGAAAGTGGGTGGCCGGTAATGACGCTCGTGGGGAATAGAGGCAAGATTTTGAAATGATCATAACAATGGACAAGTCTGTAAATAGTGGACTTTGTCTATTTGTTTCCAAATAAATTGGCCAACAGATTTTGTCTTAAATTTCCAAAGACCATTAAAATGAGGTCATTTAAATTGAGGATATACTGTAGTTTGTTTTTTGTCTTTCAGATTTACTTTTTATATATTGTATACTCAGTTTTGAAAAAATATTTCAATATTTTCTTGATTTTAAAAATTCAGAGATGCAAGCAAGCAGTGTTTCCATGAGATAAGAGAGTTGCTTCACAACAGCCCACCATCTCGCACATTTGATGCTCTTAATTATCAACTGCATGTCACGCCACATATGCATCATGTGTTGGTGGACTGGCTCTGTGAAGTTGCTAACATGAAATTTCATACCTCACAAGTTTTACATGCAGCAACTCAGGTATTTATTTCATTTTACCAAATGTTTTCAGTAATGTATTTTTATTCTCTAAATGAGGAATGTTGACTTGCAGAGAAACTTCAGTGATATGTAGTTAATTCTATTGAATCTTTACATTTTTTTTTTAATTTTAAATATAGAACTTGTCTGATAATAAGGTTCATTTATGTAAAACATTTAAAGTTGTAAAATTTTGAAAATAAATTTTTTTTGGGAAGGGTCACCTTTTTTTAAAATAAAATATTTCCTGTGTTTTGGTTTGTATAACCACTGTAAACAAGATTACGGGTGAATATGTAAATTTAATTTAGAGACCATTTAATTTTGTAGTTTTACTTAATAATTGATAAGTTCTTATAGATGTACATTATTTGAAACTTTATTACACTTGCTTTAAATTTAACCCTTTCAGGTTCTAGACCCCTGATCAGGAACTTGTCCATGGGGTCCAAGAATTTAAAAAAAAAATAATTTTTTCTTATGAAATGGTAGAGAATCTTTTTCTGAAGTTAATAAAACAGCAGTACAAAATTTGAGGGAAAATTGATGAAATTACGCTCTTGTGAATTTTGCTGTGTCAGTGATATTTACGCATCGGCAATTTTGCCCACTTTGACTCCCATTTTAGACCACTTATATTATTCCAGTCGACCAAATTCTTAGCTATTTCGCTAGTATTACTTCCATTTTATCGATTGAGCATAAGAAATCACCAGGTCAACTATTTCAACTAATAAAGTGATCAGAAATTGGTAATTTGGCCAACTTCACGCAAAGTTCAAAATATTCCAGTTTCAAAATAGGGTCCAGAATAAACAATGCAGGCATTCCTGGTACTAAGATAACATTTTCTTTGTTTATTAGTTACATTTCCAGGCTTTACAAATGAATTCCATTTTTATTTTTTATTCACATAGTGAATTTTTATTCACACCAAAATATAGAAAATTTACTGTTACGCAATATTGTAATACGTAATTGTATAAATAATATCAGCGCATTCATGAATGCATATTAGATCCACCACCTGATGTTTATTGGGTGTGTGACGTCATTTGTTAACCCTTGAATATTGGCAAAAATCGAACATTTCCGCAACTTTGAACTCAAGTTTCAAGCTATTTTCAGTACTAAAACCAATCAAAATCATCTCTATTTCTGTAACATATCTTCCATTCTATCAAATGAGACCCAAGAAACTGCAAATACAACTGTAAAACACATACGAAAAAACACCGCAAAGTCGCCGTTTTAACCCTTTCAGGGTCCAAGGCCAAAATCTGAAGTGGTGCTCCAGTGTCCAAGAAATTTTGAAAAAAAAAAATATCTTACAGAATTAGAGTATATTTTTGTGAAGGTAATAAGACAAAAAAAAAAATTCTGATCAGTACTTACCGAGATATAGTGCCGAGAAGTTTACCCAAAATGACCGGGTGGCGGCAACATCAACGATTTCCACATATGCGCATTACTTTATTTAACGTTTTTTGTAGTTTTTTCTTTTCTTTTCTATTTTTTTTTTCCTACTAACATTTGGGGTCTGAGAGACCAATACTGTATATAATGTATATATATAAACTCACTGTATTGAACACAATAACCTCACTAAAGTTATTATCATATTATTGTTTACCACTTTTGTTTATTACAATAAACATGCACAAATTTTGTATAATACTAATGTTCTATCATATATTTACATATTTACAATCACTGGACATGGTTTTAGAACTGCTGGAGCTTGTGGAAGTCCTTGAAACAAGGCACCATGCACAGAGGTACCTTACATTCCTCACACATAAACCGAGTGTCTTTGCATCTTTGTTGCCGTCGTTTTGTTTGTGCACAGACAATGCATCTCTTCTGAGCAAATTTCTTCTTAGTTGAAGGAAGCTGTATTATGAAATGATCACCTTCCCTCCTCAAACGCTTGGGTATATTCTGAAGAATTCGAGGACCTTGTTGTATAGCAGGTGTTATTACTTGGTACTTCATTATGAGTTGTCTGACAACAGACAAACAAAATTCACCATACAGTGGTCTGTTGCCAGTTTTCATTTGGTACATATTATATGCATTGAGCATTGAAATGTCCATGAGATGGAAGAAAAGTTTCATGTACCACTTGTAACTCTTACAAACACAATCAACAAACACATATGCAACAGTTAGGCAACTTTATTCCGAAACGTTTCGCCTACACAGTAGGCTTCTTCAGTCGAATACAGAAAGTAGGCAGGAACGGTAGAGATGTGAAGATGATGTAATCAGTCCATCACCCTTGAAGTCGTAGAATTTGAGGTTGTCAGTCCCTCAGCCTGGAGAAGTTCAGTTCCATAGTCAGGAACAGATAGTTCCTGACTATGGAACTGAACTTCTCCAGGCTGAGGGACTGGCAACCTCAAATTCTACGACTTCAAGGGTGATGGACTGATTACATCATCTTCACATCTCTACTGTTCCCGCCTACTTTCTGTATTCGACTGGAGAAGCCTACTGTGTAGGCGAAACGTTTCGGAATAAAGTTGCCTAACTGTTGCATATGTGTCTTACCTAACAACCTGTTGGTATTGTATACCATTTTGATGTTCACAATCAACAAAGCCAATCTGCATATCACAATTTTCAACCAAGCGCATGTTTTGTGTATAATCAATCACTGTCACTGGTTTTCGAATATGTTCATTAGTCACTCGATCAACTTTGCCAGTCTTGCATTTCGTTACGGTGAATGGTTGTCAACAATGTGACATCTCACTTGTCATGTCACCGTAATTGGCAGTAAACACCTGCACGTCATCACCACAAGCACCTGTGTTGAGCCTGGGCATATGTTTACAATTAGAACACACTGTGCCACACACATCTGTCTTGTTCACTCGCAAGAAATCACTGAGTAAAGGGCTTGTGTACCAGTTATCGGTATATAATGTATGCCCGTTACCAAGATAAGGTGTCATCATGCTTCTCACTACGTCACCTGAGATACCCAATAATATCTTGGTATCTTTCAATGTTTTACATCCAGTGTATACAGCAATATCCAATACCAGGCCACTGTCACAGTCACAGAGTTTACCTGGAGTTTACCTGGAGAGAGTTTCGGGGGTCAACGCCCCCACGGCCCGGTCTGTGACCAGGCCTCCTGGTGGATCAGCGCCTGATCAACCAGGCTGTTGCTGCTGGCTGCACGCAAACCAACGTACGAGCCACAGCCCGGCTGATCAGGAACTGACTTTAGGTGCTTGTCCAGTGCCAGCTTGAAGACTGCCAGGGGTCTGTTGGTAATCCCCCTTATGTGTGCTGGGAGGCAGTTGAACAGTCTCGGGCCCCTGACACTTATTGTATGGTCTCTTAACGTGCTAGTGACACCCCTGCTTTTCATTGGGGGGATGGTGCATCGTCTGCCAAGTCTTTTGCTTTCATAGTGAGTGATTTTCGTGTGCAAGTTCGGTACTAGTCCCTCTAGGATTTTCCAGGTGTATATAATCATGTATCTCTCCCTCCTGCGTTCCAGGGAATACAGGTTTAGAAACCTCAAGCGCTCCCAGTAATTGAGGTGTTTTATCTCCGTTATGCGCGCCGTGAAAGTTCTCTGTACATTTTCTAGGTCGGCAATTTCACCTGCCTTGAAAGGTGCTGTTAGAGTGCAGCAATATTCCAGCCTAGATAGAACAAGTGACCTGAAGAGTGTCATCATGGGCTTGGCCTCCCTAGTTTTGAAGGGTTTTCATTATCCATCCTGTCATTTTTCTAGCAGATGCAATTGATACAATGTTATGGTCCTTGAAGGTGAGATCCTCCGACATAATCACTCCCAGGTCTTTGACGTTGGTGTTTCGCTCTATTTTGTGGCCAGAATTTGTTTTGTACTCTGATGAAGATTTAATTTCCTCATGTTTACCATATCTGAGTAATTGAAATTTCTCATCGTTGAACTTCATATTGTTTTCTGCAGCCCACTGAAAGATTTGGTTGATGTCCGCCTGGAGCCTTGCAGTGTCTGCAATGGAAGACACTGTCATGCAGATTCGGGTGTCATCTGCAAAGGAAGACACGGTGCTGTGGCTGACATCCTTGTCTATGTCGGATATGAGGATGAGGAACAAGATGGGAGCTAGTACTGTGCCTTGTGGAACAGAGCTTTTTCACCGTAGCTGCCTCGGACTTTACTCTGTTGACGACTACTCTCTGTGTTCTGTTAGTGAGGAAAATTATAGATCCATCGACCGACTTTTCCTGTTATTCCTTTAGCGCGCATTTTGTGCGCTATTACGCCATGGTCACACTTGTCGAAGGCTTTTGCAAAGTCTGTATATATTACATCTGCATTCTTTTTGTCTTCTAGTGCATTTAGGACCTTGTCGTAGTGATCCAGTAGTTGAGACAGACAGGAGCGACCTGTTCTAAACCCATGTTGCCCTGGGTTGTGTAACTGATGGGTTTCTAGATGGGTGGTGATCTTGCTTCTTAGGACCTTTCAAAGATTTTTATGATATGGGATGTTAGTGCTATTGGTCTGTAGTTCTTTGCTGTTGCTTTACTGCCCCCTTTGTGGAGTGGGGCTATGTCTGTTGTTTTTAGTAACTGAGGGACGACCCCCGTGTCCATGCTCCCTCTCCATAGGATGGAAAAGGCTCGTGATAGGGGCTTCTTGCAGTTCTTGATGAACACAGAGTTTCCATGAGTCTGGCCCTGGGCAGAGTGCATGGGCATGTCATTTATCGCCTGTTCGAAGTCATTTGGCGTCAGGATAACAAACGGATAGGCTTGTGTTAATCAAATTTTGTGGCTCTCTCATAAAAAATTCATTTTGATCTTCGACTCTCAGTCTGGTTAGCGGCTTGCTAAAAACTGAGTCATATTGGGACTTGAGTAGCTCACTCATTCCTTGTTGTCATCTGTGTAGGACCCATCTTGTTTAAGTAGGGCCCAATACTGGACGTTGTTCTCGATTTTGATTTGGCATAGGAGAAGAAATACTTTGGGTTTCTTTCGATTTCATTTTTGGCTTTTAGTTCTTCCTGCGATTTCCTGACTCCTAAAGGATTCTTTTAGCTTAAGTTCGATGCTTGCTATTTCTCTGACCAGTGTCTCCCTGCGCATTTCAGATATATTGACCTCTTTTAGCCGCTCTGTTATTCTTTTCCGTCGCCTGTAAAGGGAGCCCTGTCTCTTTCTATTTTACATCTACTCCTCCTTTTTCTTAGAGGAATAAGCCTTGTGCATACATCGAGTGCCACCGAGTTAATCTGTTCTAGGCATAAGTTTGGGTCTGTGTTGCTTAGTATAAACTTCCCAGCTTATATCGGTTAGGACTTGGTTTACTTGGTCCCACTTTATGTTTTTGTTATTGAAGTTGAATTTGGTGAATGCTCCCTCGTGACTAGTCTCATTTTGTCGGTCTGGGGCTCCACGCATACATGTCTGAACCTCAATTATGTTGTGATCTGAGTATATTGTTTTTGATATGGTGACATTTCTTATCAGATCATCATTGTTAGTGAAGATGAGGTCTAGTGTATTCTCCAGTCTAGTAGGCTCTATTATTTGCTGGTTTAAATTGAATTTTGTGCAGAGATTTAAAAGCTCGTGTGAGTGTGAGTTTTCATCAGAGCTGCCTCCTGGTGTTATTACTGCAACAATATTATTTGCTATATTCCTCCATTTTAGGTGCCTTAAGTTGAAATCCCCCAGGAGCAAGATGTTGGGTGCAGGAGCTGGAAGATTTTCCAGACAGTGGTCAATTTTTAACAGCTGTTCCTGGAATTGCTGGGATGTTGCATCCGGAGGCTTGTAGACTACCACAATGACTAGGTTTTGGTTCTCGACCTTTACTGCTAAAACTTCCACTACGTCATTTGAGGCATTAAGCAGTTCTGTGCAAACAAGTTTTATACCAAAGCGTTTCCTCTTGCTCGGTATATACTGCTTGAATGAACAAAATCAAGGACTCGTCAATTACAAGATTCTTGAATGGATAAAAGTACATATTGAAGTTTCGTTAGAGATACATAAAAGCATTTCTAATCTTGTATAACCTGTCGCGTCTGTCAGGCCTGGTTTTGTCAGAGAAGTGCAACATATGTAAGAGTAAGATAAACCTGTTCACTGGGATGATTTCACTGAAGACCAGGGTAGAAATTAGCCAATCTGTGGACCAGTATGCTTTTATATTATGCTTATAGACATGAGGCATAAGCATTATTGTTGCAAAAAGTAAATACATTTCTGCAACAGTCGTCTCTTTTCACCGGTGTAGTCTTGACTGTGGCGATATCGTATTTGCCATGGTTTACTCAAAATACTTGTTACTTTCCCTGACAATAGTTTCCATCAAGGGCTGGTCAAAGAATATTTCAAAAAATTCCAGTTCATTGGCCGTGGTTCCAAGGGGACAAGTAGGTAGAATTCCACTTTGAGAGCCATCAAAGTGGTGGGGCTTGGGAACAAAATTGGGATTTTGCTGCCAATCCCGGATACGGTTTGCTGGTGGATACTGGACATCATAGGCTGGTTGTGTGGGTAGTTGTGGTTGTGGTGAGCTGCTGGCTGATGCTCCGCTTTGTCCTTGAACTGAGGAGTCAGCAGCGTGGGTCCCAGCCTGGGCTGGTGAGTCATGCATGGCCGTGGCACTACCATCACCACTACCACCATCTACTGATGCCTGTAGTCTATCCATGCCAAGTGTAGCCACATCATCCTCACTTTCAATGTCTATTCCTGGTTTAGGGCCACGGGATGTACTCCGGGATGTACTCCGTCCCCTGGGCACTGGATAGGGTACACTACCCGAGCGCATGCGGTGGCGTACATATCGACACTTCACTGGTGAATATGTTTCCTTACTATCACTACTCGAATGATCGTCAAGAGCAATAAAATCACAATCCACGTCATTATCATCATCATTACTGAAGTCAGAGGCCTGGCCACGCGAAAATAATAGTTTTCTCTTGCGATGAGGTACAACTGACCGTGACTGAGGAGTGCCCACACCGGAGGTAGAAGGTTGAGGATCGTTAGGGTTTTCTGCGCTATTATCGATATCCTGGTCATTCCTTTCTGTCACTCACTGATCAAAGCCAAAGAATTCGTCTCCATTTCCACTTCCATCAGTGTCAGAACTATCAGATAGGAAGAAGAGAATCCCAATTTTCCTTGGAGCGAGAGCTGCCTTGCGACGAGGCATGGTGAACAAAGGGAACTGAGCCGGCATTCCCACAATGTTATGCAGGCGCCTAGAATTTTTGTTTGCGGCACACACCCACCATGCAGACCCGTTCTCTCACATGTAGGCCTATGAGCGTTTTCGCGCTAAATTTGACGCCGCTAGAATTTTGGGGTAGATCTACGGTTTGGACCCTGAACGTGAAGCCGTAGATCTACGGGACTGACCCTGAAAGGGTTAATCCAAAAATATGGTTGCAGTTTTTTTTTTCTCATGAACTGCGTGCCACAAGATTTGTTTTATGTGGTGCACACTTACCACATGGATGTTTTCTCCCATATCTAGGCCCAAATTTACTGCTCATAGCTTATCTGAGTGAGCTGAGCTCATGGCATAGAACTATGGCTTGGACCCTGGCTTCAAAGCCGTAGAGTTACGGAACAGACCCTCAAAGGGTTAAATATTAAGTGATAAATATTAAAGTTTTAAGAAAATATCAGGAATTTTTTTATATTCCTTATTTATGTATTTATAATGCTGGTCATTTTTTCTCTTGAATAAGTAAATTTTGCAAACTTATATTTAAGCTCGGCATTAGACACTGCATGTCAGTGTATACTTGAATGCTGTAATTCTTGTTCTTTTAGGATTTCCTTTGCAATTTTCTTTTTCTGTAAGTTGTGTGTATTGCAATAAGCACTGAGATTTTAGGAATAATGGGCAAAACAGCATTTTGGGTTTGAATGTGTGTGGCTGTAGTGAGGATGGTAAGAAAATTTTGTATCAATGTTATCCATGAAAGGCACTGAGTGAAATACCTAATACTGCTGATAGTTTGACTAGGAAGTACAGTGGACCCCCGGTTAACGAACTTTTTTCATTCCAGTAGTATGTTCAGGTGCCAGTACTGACCGAATTTTTTCCCATAAGGAATATTGTGAAGTAGATTAGTCCATTTCAGACCCCTAAACATACACGTACAAACGCACTTACATAATTGGTCGCATTTGGAGGTGATCGTTAAGCGGGGGTCCACTGTATATGAAATTGTGTCAGGTGTTCTGTGATGTTAAAAAATGAAACGGATATAATGTTCAATGAACATTTGTGGGATGGATGTTTAAATTCAAGAATTGTAGGATTTAAAATAGTCACAGGTATGTGATATGAGAAGTGGGTTATAAGTGTTTGTGCTTGAGAGTGAGAGGAGAGGGAGGCTCTTGGAAGCAAGTGAATGTTTAGGGAATTTTGAACTGATTCAAAGAATTGCTTTGGAAGACCTAAATGTTAAATTTCCTCTTGAAAATTTCTGTGTTTTGATTATATTTTTAATATCTGCGAGTCAAAAGTGGGTATTGGGATTATATGCTGAAATCTGGTGGGAATAAAATTTTTAGAATAAAATCTGATGGGTAAAAATTTTTTAGCCTAAGTTACTTTTTTACTTTTCTTGTGCTTATCAGGCTGGGTGTCACCCAGGTTTCATCCTTCTATGAAAACAGTCAATATAGTATCAATTTCTTTATTACAGCCTTCATACTATACTTTATACTTCACAGATTGTGGAAGCTTACTTGAGTGTCGAACAAGTGAAGTGTAACCAGCTGCAGCTTGTAGGCATCACTGCTATTCTTCTAGCAACCAGGTTAATATTAAAGATTTTCCTAAAGACTGGTACATTATTACAGTGGAACCCAGAGTTTCGTATGCCGACTATTGTATGCTTTGAGTTTAGAACTGTTTTTCAGCTCAATTTTGTCCCGAGTTTCGCACTGTGCCCCGTGTATCATCCCACGTACCAGACCTGTCCGCCGGCCCCCACAGTTGTTAGTTGTGAGTCAGTGTGGCTTTGTTTCTCCTCGAGTGAATGTATACATTTTCATTAATCCATCTATGATATTTTCTTCAAAATTATATAAGACATGTTACATAGCATATAGCATAGAAACATAGCATATAAGCATGCAATGTTTATATGTAATCGAGTCGTGAGTAGCGGCATATCAAGGAGGGAGGAGGGTAGAAAGTAAACATTACGTTCCCTCTGATGCAGTGTTAGAGAAAACTGAATTTGGCATCCTGCTCAGTAACCCCCCTTGATACATAAGGCTTTTGGTTACAATTCTTGGCGTGAATTATTCATTACTTCTATTGTTTATGATGGCATCTCAAGGTAGTTGTTAGAAACGATTAAGTTCAGTGAACCTGGTATGTCGATGTAATAATATGGCTGTGTAGTGTAGCCCAGGGGGGCTACATATGTGTACCTACATCAGTAGGCTACCTACACTGAATTCCTACATATACAGTGGATCCTCGTTTTTCGTAAGGCTCGAAAGTCGTAATTTTAAAAAATAGTAATGTTTTTTTCGTCAAAACATTGACTCGAAAATTGTCATTTGACTCGCAAATAGTCGTTTCTCTCAGATGCATATGCACGGCCCCGAGCAGCCTCGCACTCCATTCCCAGCCAGTGTGCCATTGCTTATCAGTGAGTGAGGATGATCCCATGAGTTCATACGATACATTTCATAATCCATTCGTTTTAGTGCTTGCAACTGCTAAATAAGCCACCATGGCTCCAAAGAAAGTTTCTAGTGCCAGCCCTTTGGTAAAGAATGTGAGAAACACATATAATTTAAGAAAGAGTTTGTAGAAAAATATGAAATCAGTGGTGATAGAGTGGTAGCAGTTGTGATGGTGGTAGCAGTTGTGATGGTGGTAGAGGTTGGTAGCAGTTGTGATAGTGGTAAAGGGTGGTAGTGATGGCAGTAGAGGGTGGTAGCAGTTGTGATAGTGGTAAAGGGTGGTAGTGATGATAGTGGTTGTGATGGTGGTAGTGGTTGTGATGGTGGTAGAGGGTGCCTTATTCAGTGATTCAGCGATTCTACTAACTCCTCCAATGTTGTCGGAGTTATATAGAGCTACAGAAAACACCGCTGCCTCAGCTGCTGCTTCACCATCATTATGGATGGCTTATGCTCTCAGTGGCCCTTATACACCCAACAACAACAACAACACAACACCTCTCGTGACATACATAATGACTTATTTTATTCATTCTAGAGTATATTCCATGTTTCTATGTTATTAATATTGTTTGTCATATTAGTTGAATTGTGATAGATAAATAAGCCGTAGAGTTGATATTAGTGTCATATTCTCCAACAATAAACTCTCCTCCCCTCCCTCTGCCCCGTCTGCCATACACCAACAAGAGTCTTCAATAAAGGTAAGTGTAATGTTAAATGTTCATTTATACATTTTATTAGTGCTTTACATTTATTTGGCATTCTTTTCTACATTTTTGTTTTTTCTCTCAAGTCGGCCGTCTCCCACCGAGGCAGGGTGACCCAAAAAATAAAAGAAAATCCCCAAAAAGAAAATACTTTCAACATCATTCAACACTTTCACCTCACTCACACATAATCACTGTTTTTGCAGAGGTGCCCAGAATATAACAGCTTTGAAGTATATACGTATAAAAAATACACAGTATATCCCTCCAAACTGCCAATATCCCAAACCCCTCCTTTTGAGTGTAGGCATTGTACTTCCCATTTCCAGGACTCAAGTCTGGTTATATAAAATAACCGGTTTCCCTGAATCACTTCACTAAATATTACCCTGCTCACACTCCAACAGCTCGTCAGGTCCCAAATACCATTTGTCTCCATTCACTCCTATCTAACATGCTCACGCACGCTTGCTGGAAGTCCAAACCCCTCGCCCACGACATCTCCTTTACCCCCTCCCTCCAACCTTTTTGAGGATGACCCCTACACCGCCTTCCTTCCCCTACAGATTTATACGCTTTCCATGCCATTCTACTTTGATCCATTCTCTAAATGACCAAACCATCTCAACAAACCCTCTTCAGCCCTGTGACTAATACTTTTATTAACTCCACACCTCCTAATTTCAACACTCCGAATTTTCTGCATAATATTTACACCACACATTGCTCTTAGACAGGACATCTCCACTGCCTCCAACCGCCTCCTCGCTGCAGCATTTACAACCCAAGCTTCACAACCATATAAGAGTGTTGGTACTACTATACTTTCATACATTCCCTTCTTTGCCTCCATAGATAACATTTTTTGCCTCATATACCTCAATGCACCACACAACTTTTTTCCTTCATCAATCTATGATTAACCTCATCCTTCATAAATCCATCCGCTGACACGTCAGCTCCCAAATATCTGAAAACATTCACTTCTTCCATACTCCTCCTCCCCAATTTGATATCCAATTTTTCTTTACCTAAATCATTTGATACTCTCATCACCTTACTCTTTTCTATGTTCACTTTCAACTTTCTGCCTTTACACACACTTTCAAATTCGTCCACACTAACCTTCGCAATTTTTCTTTAGAATCTCCCATAAGCACAGTATCATCAGCAAAAAGTAACTGTGTCACTTCCCATTTTGTATTTAATTCCCCATAATTTAATCCCACCCCTCTCCCAAACATCCTACCTGGAGTTTACCTGGAGAGAGAGTTCCGGTGATCGACGCCCTCGCGGCCCGGTCTGTGATCAGGCCTCCTGGTGGATCAGAGCCTGATCAACCAGGCTGTTACTGCTGGCTGCACGCAATCCGACCTACGAGCCACAGCCCGGCTGTTTAGGTACCGACTTTAGGTGCTTGTCCAGTGCCTGCTTGAAGACTGCCAGGGGTCTATTGGTAATCCCCCTTATGTATGCTGGGAGGCAGTTGAACAGTCTCGGGGCCCCTGACACTTATTGTATTGTCTCTTAACGTGCTAGCATTTACTTCTCTTACAACCCCATCTATAAATATATTAAACAACCATGGTGACATTACACATCCCTCTCTAAGACCTACTTTTACCAGGAAGTAGTCTCCCTCTCTTGTACACACTCTAACCTGAGCCTCACTATCCTCATAAAAACTCTTTACAGCATTTAGTAACTTACCACCTATTCCATATACTTGCAACATCTGCCACATTGCTTCCCTATCCACTCTATCATATGCCTTTTCTAAATTCATAAATGCAATAAAAACTTCCCTACCTTTATCTAAATACTGCTCACATATATGCTTCAATGTAAACACTTGATCTACACATCCCCTACACACACTAAAACCTCCTTGCACATCCACAATTCTACATTCTGTCTTACCTCTAATTCTTTCAGTAATAACCCTACCGTACACTTTTCCTGGTATGCTCAGTAAACTTATTCCTCTATAATTTTTAGTCTCTTTTTGTCCCCCTTCCCTTTATATAAAGGGACTATACACACACTCTGCCAATCCCTAGCTACCTTTCCCCTCTTTCATACATTTATTAAACAAAAAGACCAACCACTCCAACACTGTCCCCCCCTGCTTTTAACATTTATGTCATGATCCCGTCAGTTCCAGCTGCTTTACCCCCCTTTCATTCTACGTAATGCCTCACTCACCTCCCCCCACACTCACATCCTACTCTTCTTCACTCCTAAAAGATGGTATACCTCCCTGGCCAGTGCATGAAATTACCGCCTCCCTTTCTTCGTCGATATTTAAAAGTTCCTCAAAATATTCTCGCCATCTATACCCAAAACCTCCATCTCCCCATCTACTAACTCCCCTACTCTGTTTTTAACTGACAAATCCATTTGTTCCCTAGGCTTTCTTAACTTGTTTAACTCACTTCAAAATTTTTTCTTATTTTCATTAAAATTTCTTGACAGTACCTCTCCCACTCTATCATCTGCTCTTCTTTTGCACTCTCTCTTCACACGAACTTCCTCCTCCCTTAGTTTATACACTTTCACCTCCCTCTTACTTGTTGTTGCCATTTTCCCCTTATCCCATCTACCTCTTACTCTAACTGTAGCTACAACTAGATAATGATCCAATATGTCAGTTGCCCCTCTATAAACGTGTACATCCTGGAGCCTACCCATCAACCTTTTATCCACCAATACATAATCTAACAAACTACTTTCATTACATGCAACATCATGCCTTGTATATTTATTTATCCTCTTTTTCATAAAATATGTATTACTTATTACCAAACCTCTTTCTATACATAGCTCAATTAAAGGCTCCCCATTTTCATTTACCCCTGGCACCCCAAATTTACCCATTGCTCTCTCCACAACATTTTTACCCACTTTAGCATAAAAATCCCCAACCACAAGTACTCTCACACTTGGTTCAAAACTCCCCACGCATTCACTCAACATTTCCCAAAATCTCTCTCTCTCTCCTCTATACTTCTCTCTTCCCCAGGTGCATATATGCTTACTATAACCCACTTCTCACATCCAACCTTTATTTTACTCCACATAATCCTTGAATTAATACATTTATAGTCCCTCTTTTCCTGCCATAACTTATCCTTCAACATTATTGCTACTCCTTCTTTAACTCTAACTCTATTAGAAACCCCTGACCTAATCCCATTTCCTCTCCATTGAAACTCACCCACCCCTTCAGCTTTGTTTCACTTAAAGCCAGGACATCCAGCTTCTTCTCACTCATAACATCCACAGTCATTTCTTTCTTATCATTCGCACAACATCCACGCACTTTCAGACTTCCCACTTTGACAATTTTCTTCTTCTTATTCTCTTTAGTAATTATTACAGGGAAAGGGGTTACTACCCCATTGTTCCCGGCATTTTAGTTGACTTTTACAACACGCATGGCTTACGGAGGAAAGATTCTTATTCCAATTCCTTATGGATATAAAAGGAAAAGTTATAAGACCAAAAACTATTAAGCTAAAATCAAAGAAAACTCAGATGAGTGTGTATAAATAAACATGTACATGTATGTGTAGTGTGACCTAAGTGTAAGTAGAAGTAGCAAGACATACCTGTAATCTTGCATATTTATGAGACAGACAAAAGACACCAGCAATCCTACCATCATGTAAAACAATTACAGGCTTTCGTTTTACACTCACTTGGCAGGACAGTAGTACCTCCCTGGGTGGTTGCTAACTACCAACCTACTACCTACATGTAAATCTATATTTAAGCTAGGGAAGTGGCTAAGGAAGTGACCCCTGAAGTGACCTAGAGTCCTTATGGAGGGAGATTCCCCTTCCAAACAATAACCTCTCTTCCCTCTCTCCTCCCTGTCTTCCATTCATCAACAACAGCCTTCAATAAAGGTAAATGTCATTTTGAATGTTCATTCTTTTGTGCATGTAAATCTATCTTTAAGGTAAAAAAAATTTTGTTTTTGATACTTCTGGGTGTCTGGAACGAATTAATTGCATTTACATTATTTCTTATGGGGAAAATGGATTCGCAAATCGTCAATTTCAATAATAGTCACACTCTATGGAACGAATTAATTACGAAAAACGAGGGTTCACTGTAAGTGCGACTCACTTCTCGCCCTACATTAAGACTACAATTATGTTAACGTAAGTAATGAATGTACTGTAGCAGTAAAAGACAAAGAAGGGAAATAACACTAGAGGGCTTTGATATCTGAAGTCCTTATGGAAGGGGATTCCCAACTCCCTGGAACAGATTAATTGTATTTAAGAGGGGAAGGTTCCTAGGGATTGGCAGAGAGCATGTATAGTCCCTTTATATAAAGGGAAAGGGGACAAAAGAGATTGTAAAAATTATAGAGGAATAAGTTTACTGAGTATACCAGGAAAAGTATACGGTAGGGTTATAATTGAAAGAATTAGAGGTAAGACAGAATGTAGGATTGCGGATGAGTAGGGAGGCTTCAGAGTGGGTAGGGGATGTGTAGATCGTGTTTACATTTAAGCATATATGTGAACAGTATTTAGATAAAGGTAGGGAAGTTTTTATTGCATTTATGGATTTAGAAAAGGCATATGATAGAGTGGATAGAGGAGCAATGTGGCAGATGTTGCAAGTACAGTGGACCCCCGGTTAACGAACTTTTTTCATTCCAGTAGTATGTTCAGGTGCCAGTACTGACCGAATTTTTTCCCATAAGGAATATTGTGAAGTAGATTAGTCCATTTCAGACCCCCAAACATACACGTACAAACGCACTTACATAAATACACTTACATAATTGGTTGCATTTGGAGGTGATCGTTAAGCGGGGGTCCACTGTATATGGGATAGGTGGTAAGTTATTAAATGCTGTAAAAAGCTTTTATGAGGATAGTGAGGCTCAGGTTAGGGTGTGTAGAAGAGAGGGAGACTACTTCCCGGTAAAAGTAGGTCTTAGAGAGGGATGTGTAATGTCACCATGGTTGTTTAATATATTTATAGATGGGGTTGTAAAAGAAGTAAATGCTAGGGTGTTCGGGAGAGGGGTGGAATTAAATTATGGGGAATCAAATTCAAAATGGGAATTGACACAGTTACTTTTTGCTGATGATGCTGTGCTTATGTGAGATTCTAAAGAAAAATTGCAAAGGTTAGTGGATGAGTTTGAGAATGTGTGTAAAGGTAGAAAGTTGAAAGTGAACATAGAAAAGAGTAAGGTGATGAGGGTATCAAATGATTTAAATAAAGAAAAATTGGTTATCAAATTGGAGGAGGAGTATGGAAGAAGTAGGGAAACCGGTTATTTTCATATAGTCGGACTTGAGTCCTGGAAATGGGAAGTACAATGCCTGCACTTTAAAGGAGGGGTTTGGGATATTGGCAGTTTGGAGGGATATGTTGTGTATCTTTATACGTATATGCTTCTAAACTGTTGTATTCTGAGCACCTCTGCAAAAGCAGTGATAATGTATGAGTGTGGTGAAAGTGTTGAATGATGATGAAAGTATTTTCTTTTTTTGGGATTTTCTTTCTTTTTTGGGTCACCCTGCCTCGGTGGGAGATGGCCGACTTGTTGAAAAAAAAAAAAAACATACATTAGTTCTTATGGGAAATATTGCTTCGACTTTAGCACGTTTCTACTTTAGTAGTAGCTCCTGGAACGGATTAAGTACAAAACTCGGGGTTCCACTGTATTTAGATTACTACATTTTTTATTAACTTTGACATTTTTGTTGTGATAAACATTCCTGTGGTAATTAGAATGAAAAAAATTAATTGGCCATATCCCACTGAGGCAGGGTAACCTAAAAAGAAAAAAACATAAGTTTTTCCTTTTAAATTTACTAATTTATACAGGAGAAGGGGTCACTAGCCCCTTGCTTCCAGCATTTTAGTCGCCTCTTACGATACACATGGCTTACAAAGGAAAGAAAAAATATTAAGAGTACCAAAAAAACAGGTATCATTTTTATCATTATATGTCTATTCTGTTGATTTACCTAGATGGAAGAAATGAGTTATTAGCTCACACAAGAGAAATACAACTTTTATTCTAGGTATAGTATATTTTTGTTTTAACTTTTAGCAGGCATACCCAGTATGTGAACACCGTCATATCTGAGTGCAGCCAAGTGGTCTGTGAAATTTTGCATACTTGGTGTGTTTTAAGGCAATATCTGTAAAGGAATTCAGAAAAATATATCCTTCTCATAAGATCCTTTAGCTATTAACAATTGAAGCCATTAAAGTAAGTCATTGTCAAAATATTTCATGGAAAAAAGTATCACCATTTTGAACAAAATTGGCAAATTGGCACCCACACACATTACAGTAAATAGGATACACCAATGTTGAAAGGTTGAAACTGATCAGAAAAGGCATTCTCAAGATATTACACTGAAATCAAAACTAGGATTGTTTATATATAACATTGATCAGATCACACCTGCATATGCCAATAGTTGCCCAAACCTTTTTCTAGTTACAGTATACCAGCATTAAAAATTTGAAGCCAATTGGATAAAACATTTGAAAGCTACAGGAGAGAACTTTTGAGCAAGAGAAAAAGATACTCAGATAAACACTTCAAGGTACCCTTTTGTGGGATACCTAGAAAAAGCCCTGGTAGCATACTACATCTCACATTTTTACCCCCACTACTTGTAAGGTTGGTCAAAATGTTGTTTTCTTTTTTGCAGGTTTATCCCAGGTGCATCTATTCTAACTATCCGTGAAGCATCCTGGGTCACTGACAATACCTATACCTATAACCATGTTGTCCGCACTATTGGGCACATCATGGCAGCTCTCAAGGCAAATCTTGCTCTTCCTACAAGTGAGTAATCTAACATCAGATACCTCCTTGACCCTACTCAATAAAATTCCTGCTTGATTCACCAGAAACAACATAGAACTTCTTGTTTTACCTGTATACTGCATGTCTTCCACCATAGAGGTGTATTTCCTTCTGATAGGCAGCAGCTCCAGGGGTAGACCCAGGTGAGGAGATGGAAAGTAAGAGGTTTTCCCCATATAGCAGACACATAAGAGCAGTTCTTTGCATTTACCAGGGAAATCTTAGCCATTAAGGCTCACTGGGTCATCAAAGCTTGCCATTCACCCACCCCAGTTTATTTTATTGCTTCATGTTAAGTATTAAATCCTTGTGGGTCATTAAATCCAAGGAATGGCAGAGGCTTCATCCTCAGTTGGCTAATAACAAGACAGATGCTCTGCTGAATTGTATTTGCCCACAAGGGATGGGAACTAGTCATCAAAGATATAGGAGGAACTATTCCTTATTTTCATTGTATTTAACACTAATGACAAGGGCACTTAGAGGCTTCTATTTTAGTTTCTGTCTTTCTCATAATCTTGCTAGTATCCAAAATATTTGGCAGTTTGTTCTGAAATTATTTTTCAACGTGCTTGTTAGTGTTTTATCATTATTTCCTAGTATACCCTACCTTGATGGGAGATGACCAGTGAAATAAAAATTATTTATTTATTTATTTATTTTTTTTAGTTCTAGACTATGCTTCAGTGTTGCTGGAATGTGTAAAAGCCCCAGTAATTATTCAAGAATGGACTCGATTTTTGTGTGACTTGGCTACTACTTGCTCTTTCCCTCCAAGAATCACATTGGCACAGGTAAGTAACAACCATTTTGTGACTGATGTTGAAAATGGGATATCTTTGTTTCCCTCTTATATGCATGTACTGCTTGGTCCAAGTCTTCAGTTTTGCCACTACATTCTTTTGTAAATAATTTAACAAAAGTTTAATGTAAAGTAGTAGGCAGTGGATATTACACATTTACCCCCATATATGACCATTTTTTTTTTTTTTTTTTTTACAGATTGGTAGCTCATGTGTTCTTCTTGGATACATTCTTTCTCGATCACCCTTGCCTAACCTACCTGTCATAACCGGCTTTACACAGTATCAACTGCTCCAGCCTGCTGTGATTATATATTGTAAAAAGTATGCTTTGTTAAATATTTGATTTTTTCTTATCAGTCAACTGCACTAAAACCTTCAGATTATTGATGGAAAATACTTGCCTCAGCATTTTAATCATTCATGAAACATCATGATTTCAGATAATTTTTTTCTTTACATTGAGTTTTCTTATTAGCAAGTGATATACAGTGAACCCCCGCATAACGATTACCTCCGAATGCGACCAATTATGTAAGTGTATTTATGTAAGTGCGTTGGTACGTGTATGTTTGGGGGTCTGAAATGGACTAATCTACTTCACAATATTCCTTATGGGAATAAATTCGGTCAGTACTGGCACCTGAACATACTTATGGAGTGAAAAAATATCGTTAACCGGGGGTCCACTGTATTTGAATAAACAATATTTGAAGACAATCACATAAATTTACACTCAAGGAATAGGGTATTTTACATTTGTAGAGGGTAATCTACTCCATGGCAGTTTCTTTATACCTTAAAAACTGAAGAAAATTCTTTTCATGATTTTATGAAAATAAATTCATAACCCCTTCTCCTATATACATTGTAAAAATTAAAAAGAGAAACTTTTGTTTTTCTTTTTGGCCCACCCCCTACCTCGGTGGGTAAGGCCAGTTTGTTGAAAGAAGAAGAATAAATTCATCAATAATATTTAATGCTTTCTTTTTTAGTTTTGATATAGATGGTAGTAAGTGTCAGCGTCGTGGGATTATAGATCGGTACAGTTTACCAAACTTCACAAATGCACAAGTAGGCCAATTGCCTGTGCCACCCTTGGAAGACTTCTTGGCTACTCTGTCTCTAAGTGAAACTGATTATCTACAAATGGTGACTGTCCCCAGTATTCGAGGTGAGTGTAAAATATTTTGCTAGTTTTTTGTCCAGTATTCGTCAAGACTTTAGTGTTTTGTAACCAATACACTGTCTTGAGAATTATGAAACATCTGTAATGTATAGGTACCAAATTGACTGCCTCCAGCGGGCCTAGAATAACACTGCACTGAGATAAACATATCGTTCCAGTCACGGTATTGTGCCTTTTTGTTATTTATTTAACATATAATAAAATTGAGGTAACTGTCTTTGTTTCCATTTCTTTATTTGGCTGTATCACAACTTCAGTCTTGCATTAGGATGTCATTCATTAGACTCATCACCATGTTGATTATTTCTCACTTTAGGTCTTTACTAGAGTAGTCACTTTTTTTTCTCTTGGTTATTTCTTAAGCAACCCTCATTGTTGTATCTATCTTATTTTATTCGAGCAAATTTTTATGAATATCTCGAAGGAAGTATATATCCAGATTTGTTGAAGCTCCCACACTCCAATGTTCACGTGATGTATGTGACCTGAGATGTTCAAAGAAAATTGTTTACCTATTTGATTTTTTTTTTAAGATTTAAGTGAATAAAAATAGATTTTTTTTCTTCCTAGATGGTGTAAACATTTCAAGTATGGATACTGATGCTGCAAGCAGTGGAGTAACTTGTAGTGAAAGAATAAATAGAAATCAGCAGTTAAGACAAATTGAAAAGCCACTTCAGCAGTTCTGTCAGCAAAAACAAAACACTCAAGATTTAAAGCCACCTTTCAGAGGTATAAACAAAGTAATGGATTATAATATGGAAAGTAATAATGATGGATGTGCAAGTGATAACTGGAACATTGGTGAGAAAGGTGAAGCATCTTCAGGTGCTTATAATAAGGTCAGTGATATCAGAATGGACTTCAGTGACGATGAATTGTCTCAGGATTCTATAAATAAAATGTCTCCTCGTAAACAAAAATTCTCATCTATGAGGACAGGTATTGAAACAGATTCTAATGAAGAGGGTATACATTCCAGACTTCGCTCGATACATAAGAATAACCCTGGGAATCTCTTTGCTTCAGTTCATTTGTGGGAGGAAGTAGACAATAATAAACTAAGCTTGAATCCTAGGCATTGTGAATCTCCAGAAGCTAAAGTGATACCAAGTGAAGTGATGCTTGAAACTTTGAGTGAAACTACAGACAGTGAAGAAAATTTAGACATTTTACCCCCTACATGTGAAGGTGCAGGAGCCAAGTATACAAAAGTTAGTCTTAAAAGAAAACTTGAAAATGCATCTAGTAGTGAAAGGTCTGAAAAATGCCTGATTTTAGATGTTGGGAATTTACAGTTAAGCTAATCACAATTTTGGAGTACCATATTTTTTAAATATTTGTTATAAAGAACGATTTCCTTTAGTAATGACGGTCTTCCAGACAATGCATAAAAATTAATGAAGTCATATTATAAAAGTGTGTTTTGTATACTGTTCCTACATTTTAATTTAGCTCATTAATAAAGGAAAATTCTATGCATCATTATCAGTGTTTAAATTTTCTGATTGCAGAACCATATGTGCTTTATTGGTATGTGTGTGTGTGTGTGTGTGTGTGTGTGTGTGTGTGTGTGTGTGTGTGTGTGTGTGTGTGTGTGTGTGTTGTGTGTGTTACCATTTTGTCCTAGGCACATGTCGATTAGACACTTGGCCTGTTGTATATAAGAGTGAGTGAGTGTGTGTGTTAGTTACCATTTTGTCCCAGGCACACCTCTTCAAGGGGGGCTCCTTGGTGTTGAAGAGGCTCTTGGTCTGCGGAATTAGCCCTGTCGTCTTCTTCCTCAGACAGAACCTACTTACCTCCATTCTTTCTCCCTCCCCCTATCCCATCCTCCCCTTTTTCCAATCCACCTCCCTCCTCCTCAACACCCCTCCTTTGCCCTTCCTCATTTTGGCCTTTGGATTTCTCCCACAGGCGCGCTAGTTCCTAGTAGGGGAAAGGAATCAAACCGGGTCCATCTCATTCCGTTTGCGGTTCTGGCGGTGGCGTAGTTGCCGTGGAATCTGGATGCCTGGGGATGTCCCGATCCTCTCGGTATCGCCGAGTAGCTTTAGGTGTCTTTCGAGCGACGGGGTATCTCTGTGAAGCCACCTTTCGGATTCCGTGGTGGTGGCCGAAGGAGGTATGCTTTGTGGCCGGGATATTCCGGGCCGCCCTCTCTTTTTGTCCACCGAGGTAGCCGTGCAAAATGTGAGGTTGCTAATCCCGGATTGCTGTTTACTGCATGAAGTAGGGTAGGCACGGGTTCCATGCTGCATCTGCGCTACAAGCGTGTGTTTGAGGTCCTCTTGGCGCGGAGGGAGATTTCTGGACCTTTCATTCCTCCTGGTAACTATTTCCTCCCCGATCTCACGCTTATTTTTTATCTTTTTTTTTTTATTTTTATTTTCTTTCTTCTATCTTTTTTTTTTCTTATAAAAACAAAAGCAAAGGAGTAACCTAACCATGGCATCCCTATTCCATGAACCCACTACCACCCGGCCCTTCTTGATACCGCAACCCCATTCTGACCCTGCCTTGTGTTTAGACCCCTCTTCGGACACTCCTGATGCCCCTGTACCTCTTGCTTGTGCTGAATCCTCACCCGCTTCAGGTACCGGGCATCCGACTGCTCCTTCGATTTGTCCTGACTCCGCTCTCCTACTATGCATCCGTTTCTCCCTCTACGGTACGGCAATTTTCGAATTCGCCCGCCCATTTCACGCACGACCAACTCCGGTGCCTACCCTACACGGCCAACGACAATCTCCTGATGATGCTCTCCTTCGTTACCTTTCCCCATCTACACGGAAAACCGACACGTCAAGCACTCCCTCTCCACGCTCAGTTTTCGACACACGACAATGACTAAATTCTTTAACTTTAAGAACCGACTTCTTCTTTTTTTCTGCCTACTTTACCTTTCTGACCATAAGTATTGGCAAAGCCGCTCCATGCGTCCATGTTGTAGAGATATTTCATTTTCAATCTCTCAAGAGCGGATAAGAGCATCGTCACTGTCCATACTGCTACCCAAGTCAGATACTTTCTCTCCTTTCGGAATATCGATACTACTCTTAACATATTGAAAAAACATCTTTCCTCATTCTTGTAGTGGTACTGTCCATCTCTGCCACCAAACCATAGTCCAACAGAATTTCATCATGTGGCAATGGACCATTTTTGAACAGCTGGAACTCCATGATCTCCTAATCCTCAAGTAGACACTTATGTCCCTTTTATGCCTGGTGGCGGAGACGTTACCCTTGCAATGTGGCGTCTTTTAACTTTGACAGCCGAGAAACATCCCGTCCTCTGTATATGTCGCAGGAACATCGGTTACAAGTTCGAATGTGATACCTACACCGCAACAATTAGAAATTTGCTGGCGTTTTGGTCACCCAGCGAAATATTGCAGATCTATGGCCAAAGAAAAAAAGAATGCCCAGTCTGTGGTGCCGGACGACCATCTAATACATCTGCAGTCAACCTCTCCATCTTGCCTAATTGTTATGAAGCTCACCCTTCGTACTCCCCGCCGTCCAGGTCTACTTAAATGAACGTGAAATCCGTTGCCTCAAAGAGGCAGAAGGTCCTCCCTTTATGCTTTGGCGTTACTCATCTCTCCGCCTCCAAGGGAGACTACCCCGTGTTTTCTTATTCTCGTGTTTTCAAACATCCCCCACTTCGGGTACCATCTTCTGCAGCCTCCTCTGTTGTTACCCCTCCCATAGCCCACTATGCATCTAAAACCTTTTGCTGTCCATCTGCTCTCTCTGACGTCCAGACACATCTCAGTATCTGTTCTTCACATCTTCGCGTCCTTCCCACTAAGCCCCAGTATCTGACAAGAACCTCGTACGACACCCTAATAACCAAATCGCCCTCTCTACACAGAAGTCCAAAAAACCACATTGCACAAATCTCTTTGCCCCTTCCTTCCCTTCAATCCACCTCCACCTTTACCTTTTCCAGTCTCTGTACCTAGTTCTTTTCCCTCTCACTGGCACTATTACAAGTGTGGAGATTCACCTCCACCTCGTACTATGCCTTCCTACCCCCGTCCCCTCCCAATTTTCTCCCTCTTCTGATCTCTGTGCCACCTCGCAGGTTTCTGGCCTCTTCTGTCCCCCCCCCCCCACACTTCACTCCAGCCCTTAACACTCATCCCCTTCCCTCTACTTTGGTACAAGTCCAATACTGTCCCAATCTTTACTCACCCTCCCTCCTTCTACTCCATATGGTCCCCCCCATACATCTTTGAATTCAGAAACACTGAGCCATTTCAGAATATATTGCAGAACCTAAAACCTTCAATGACACTGAATTCACTTCTGTTCCTTCTCTTCCCCTCTTCTCCATCTTCACAACCCCATTCTTCGCATACGCTCCTTCCTTCGCTACTTGAACGTCTTCCAATGCCAAAGCCACCACAACGTTGACTTTTCAAACCCCTCTAGTCCGTAGGGACTTTACCTACAGATTCCTGATATTTCTTCATCGCCAAATCATGGGCCTAATTACCGTGGAAATATCCTGCGCCTCAGGGGTATCGGGGTAGCTCAGATGTTGGCTTTCCATGTTTTCCCCTGTTGTCTAGCTTACAAGAACCAAAATTACACTCAGCTGTTTTCACAACCTATCTCAGGCTATAATTTATTGTATTCTTCGGACCTTTCATCAGATGGGACCTTTAATAAAGTGCCCTCTTCTAACGCAATGATATACGTACTGTCACTATTTGTCCATACCTCGCTGCATACACTGCAGCCCGTTCCACTTGAAAAAGTGGTTACAAAGTACTTGTATATCCTCTCCTTGTCCCGAGCATTTTCTATCCAGACTTGCCTTTCTTGTTTCAACCTTACCACCACCACTTCTGTTACTTGTGATTTTTTAAATGCCCACCATTTCCTCTGGGGGGGGGGGGGTCTCAATGTATACTACACGTGGCATCCAGTGGAGGCTTTTCTTTTCTTTTCCCTCGCCTCTCACACCCCCTCCATGTTTTAATACGGTAATCCCACCCATTTTGCTCCTCGTACTCATACTCTCTCTTGCATCGATCTATCAGTCTGCTCTTCCTCCACTGCACTAGCCTTCACCTGGTCTGTTCTACCAGACTTACATGACAGCGATCATTTTCCGATCATTCTTACTTCTCCTTCCTATTCACCACCTTTCCGTAGCCCTCGCTGGCAATTTGATCGGGCAAATTGGGATCTTTACTCACACCTCACTGCTTTTAGTGAGGTTCCTTCTTCATCCTCCATTGATGAGCTCCTACACATCTTCTCGACGTCAGTTTATACCGCAGCTTCTCATTCTATACCCCAAACCTCAGGCAGGCATTCTCAGAAGTGCGTGCCTTGGTGGTCTCCTGCTTGTGCTCGTGCAGTACGTTTGAAACGTGCTGCATGGGGCAGGTACCGGTACAATAGAACCGCTGAGAGACTTCTTGATTTTAAGCAGAAGCGTGCGATCGCTCGCCGTGTCATCCGTGAAGCTAAACGCACTTGTTGGCGAGACTATGTTTCCACCATCACCTCTGCTTCTTCTATGAGTGCAGTCTGGAAAAAAGTGAGGAAATTGAGTGGTAAATACTCTCCTGACCCGGCTCCTGTTCTACGGGTCGCTGGTGTTGATGTAGCAAACCCTCTCGACGTTGCCATTGAACTTGGCACACATCTGGTCCGTATTTCCCGAGGGCTCCATCTATGCCCCTCTTTTTTTCTTTCCTCAAAGTCTGCCAGAGAGTTAGATACCCTTGGACTTTTTACTTCTCTCAGAGAAGAACAGTAATAATGTGCCTTTTACAACTTCAAGAACTGGAGGCAAACGCTCTCAGCATGCCGATCATCGGCATCTGGCCTGACGACATTCAAATTCGTAATGTTACAACCATTACATCGGTCAGCCCTTGTATCCTCTTACACCTCTTCAATCTTATTTGGGCACAAGGATATTTTTCCCTCAGCTGTGGAAATCGCCATTTATTCTACCCTTTCCGCAAACCGGTACTACAGGACATGATGCCATCCCACTATTCGCCCCATCGCTCTTACAATGCAGTTTTGCAAAGTGATGGAACGTCTCCCGTAATTCGACGTTTAATGTGGTATTTAGAGACACCACATCAGTCTCTCCGCTAGTTCAATATGGCTTTTCCGTAAGGGTCGTTCTAACCATAGACCCCTTACTATACCTACGCTTTGGATCCATATGTTCTAATGCCTTTTGCAAATAATCACTCAGTTTATTGCCAAATTTTTGACCCTTGAGAAGGCTATATTACACAACTTTGGGGTATAAATTTTTGGCCCAGGCCCATCCTTAGGCCACCGAGGCAATCTACCCATCCTTAAGAACTTTTTAAACTGACAGACATTTCCGTGTTCGAGTCAATAAGTTTCCTTTCCCCCGGACTTCGTCAAGCTGAAGGATTCCCTCCAGGGATTGAGTTCTAAGCACAACACATTTTTTCTCCTTTGCTAAAAATGATT